CAAGGGGGCACGTAGATGCACGGGGGAGCAAATCTCACCAATCTGCTCCCCACACTCAGCCAAAACACAAACTGTGAGGAACTGAGGGCTCCTCTTTCCTGGTAGTTACAGGCAGCTAGGATGTCACTGCTTGGTGTCTGTCTGGTCACTCAGCCTGCAAGGACTGGAGACTTCTGGATAGGAGAGGAATCACAGGGGTAGGGGAAGTGGAGTTTTGTTATCCCTAATGAAGCCCTCTTGCAGAGAGATGCTGATATGCAGCATGGGAAAAGCTTCAAGCTCAAAACTCCATGGATCTCTGATGCTACCAAGACACACACAGTTTGAGGGAGAAAACATTACATGATGGAAAATAAAACTTGAGCCAGGAGCTGAGGTGCCTCTTTTAATAAGTAAAAGATCATCTGAAGAGAAAGCATAACATAGAGGCTGCAGTGCAGGCTGGTTTGTGTTCATGTAAAGTGGCATTAGAGAAAGACTGGATTTCCAAGGAAAGGAATTTCAGCAAGTACTTACTGGAATGGAAAATGTGTCACAGGCCAGGGAAGCAATGGGACAATCCTGACAGCTGCCAACCCAACCACTGCAGAGAAAAAGGGCTGGGAATGGACGTGGGAGTGGATTATTTGCCCTGACTCCACAGCCCAGGGGGAAGAGGTAAAAGTAGTGAGAGCTGTTGGGGTCCTTGGAGGACTTTTCTTTCCCCCCCTGTCCTTTATAGCACAAACTGATGCAGGTTTGAAACCTGGAGAAGAGTGTGTGACTCCTGGAAAGCATTGCCTACAGGTCATGCAGCAGGAGGGGAATCAGGACTATTGTGCCCTTTTATATAGGACATGTGTGCATTTCTGGCCTGGCCTTTCCAACTCACTGTGCCCCAGTTTCCCCACCTGCACCAAGGGGTAAGGTCAGGGGTCTGTGGTCTAGATATCACCAAGACAAAACATCCTGTTGAGAGGGAGCTGAAAATGTGTATATATATATATATATATGTATATATGAAGTGTAAAGCTTTACAAAGCTTCTTTAGGCACAGGGGATCCCAATCCTGGGCAAACTCTTCCAGGTCAGGGATAAGGGAAGGTTCTCACATGCTCCATCAAGTGATGAACCTTGGCTGTGGGTTTAGGTCTGTTTGGGGAATCCAAACCAACACAAAAGTGGTGCATGGATGGAAAGCACCCCTTCTAGAGGAACTGGTTAACTGCAGAGCTTGTTGTAGACTCTTGTAAAGAACCAAGGATCTGAAAAGCTCAGGGCAGGAGAAGTGCAAAGATCCCTGTCTGTCTGCCTGCATCCCATGGCAGCAAGGACTTGGTTCAGCCAAATGCCCAACACTTCTTTGGCTGAAGGGAAGCAGAAATGGGCCAGAGAAGCTGAAGAGATCCCTGCATGACTCGTCCTTGCTTCTGCAGGAGGCCAAGGGCAGACTGCAGTCTAATCCTTAAATCCTGGTGGAATCAATTATTTAAGACCCAAGAAAAGTTATCACCTCCCTCCCTTTCTCTCTTTGAATGCATTAAAATAGCAATCAGGGCAAACATGGCAAAGCTGCATATTCAATTTCTCTTGTTCTTTTCTTTGCAGGCAGACCTGTCTCTCAGGTCTGGCTGAGCTGTTCCTCTGCAGAGCATCCAGCATCTCACCAGACTGCAAATCACTGCAGCAGTGACTGGAACCAGCAAAGCCACACCTTGTGTGTGGAGTGTCTCAGGTGCCACCTCTGCTCCTGGCCTTTTATCTCCTCTGTCCCCTGACAGAGACATCATCAGACAGAGATATCCAGATATCACCTGCTCCCCTGACCTGAAAATTTGCTCCTGTGGTTAAAATGCTGCACCAAGGTAAGTGATACTGGATTCAGGGAGGTTGAGACTGAACCAAACCTCACCTCCAATCACTGGAACAGCTTTAGCAGTTTAGCTGCAGTGACAAAGCCCCAGCACTTTCCTGAGACATGGAAAACTCCCTGAGAACCCTCTCAGCAGGGAAAAGCAAGACTTGGCTCAGGAGCACATCCTGGTTAAGTCCTGTGTGTCCAATCCACCTCCTGCCACACTGATTGGTGTCCTTTAAACCTTGGCAGACACATAGTGCATTTGTCCCTGCCATTATAAATGCTCCTTTGATTATCAAGAGGAGGTTGGGAAAAGCAAGTTACTGAGGGATGGGGGAAATAAATGGCTGAGAGGGGAGGGAAATCTCTAGTCACTGAAATGCTGGCAAACTGCTTTGTCTTTTTTGAGGCTAAGGTTTAAGACCAGGGAGAAGAATTAATAGTTATCAAATCTGATTCTACCCCCTGAAAAATAGGTGAATAAGTAATCATAGTGGATTAGCATCCCTAACCAAAAAGCAAATTTGGCTTCCCAAGCCTTCAGTGAGCAGGGTTAAGCACTTGTAAGTTGATTTACCCCACACAGATCATCAGCCTGGGCACAAAGATCCTCCCAGGATCCTCCCAGAGCTCAGCAGGGAGAAAACTGAGGTGAGAACAGCTTTAGCAATTTAGCTGCAGTGACAAAGCCCCAGCACTTTCCTGAGACATGGAAAACTCCCTGAGAATCTCTCAGCAGGGAAAAGCAAGACTTGGCTCAGGAGCACATCCTGGTTAAGTCCTGTGTGTCCAGTCCACCTCCTGCCACACTGATTGGTGTCCTTTAAACCCTGGCTCCTCTTCCAGGTAGGCACATAACAAACAAAAAGAGCAGATCTCAGGCAGTTCCACGAGTGGCAACGCAGTGGCAGGTGACAGAGGCACACTAGAGGCTCAGACTCATCCTCCTTGATGACAGTGGCACTGCTGCAAACCCTCTCCCAGACAGAAAAAGATGGCTCATTCTTCAGCTTCAGCAGTTAAGGGGCATCTAATCACTGGCAGAAACTGACACATTTCAGGATGGGTTTCCTGAGTTGGAATTTTAGCTCCTTTCTTTAGCTATATTTAGTCCTGTAACTTCTGTGCTTGAACTTGGCACAATCAAATAGTTCATAGAATCACAGAATCATACAATGGTTGGGGTTGGAAGGGACCTCTGGAGATCATCAAGTCCATCCCTCCTGCCAGAGCAGGGCTACCACAGAATCTAGGGAAGGTCACACAGAAACATATCCAGGTGGGTCTTGAAAGTCTCCAGAGAAGGAGACTCCACAACCTCCCTGGGCAGCTTGTCCCAGGGCTCTGTCACCCTCACAGGAGAGAAGTTTTTCCTCATGTTGAGGTGGAACTTCCTATGTATCTGAGACCTTGGAGAAACTAAGATCCCAACTTGGAATGGCAGCAGCTGCCCAGTGGGCTCTGTAGCATCTTCCCAGCACCTCCATGTGTGATTCACTGCGTGCCCAGAAGCTCCTGTTTCCCTTCATGTTTTAGAAGATTTGGGTATTTCTCAAGATGCTTCTAAACAGAGAAATCTAATCTAAAGTTAACTTGGAGACTATTGGCAATATCTCAAATACAGTTATAATCACAGTGTGTAGAAAGAAAATAGTGAGGTTGCCAAGGTAAACACAAAGATGTAGGAAACATTTATCCCCTTCAGGGAATTTATGCTGAGCAGATGTGGAATGAGATTTTTACCTTTCCCAGCCGTGGCTGGGTTTTCAACAAAGTAACAGAGAGGATCACTTGGCTGGGGTGATCTCTCTGAGAGGTGGCAAAGTCTTTGCTCCAAAGTGTAGGACTTGGGGCCTTCCCTGACAAAACACCTTAAAAGAAGGAGCAAGAACTGAAACTGCAGCCCAGACTGATCCCTGGGGTGAGTTCAGCCCATGTCCTTCCTGTCACCTTCTTTTTTTAGCCTGGCCCAAATCTTGGATTCCTGAAGAATCCTGCACCTAATAAACACAGGACTCATCTGTCACCCTTTTCAGGATCAGATTGTTTTTTTAATTAAAAATTCCCTACAAACTAAAAGAAGAGAGCCAGCCAGGCAGTAGGAGTGAGCAAGGTATGCATTTTTAATTGGGTGCAATTAAAAACCCTGCCTCTTTGGCATGGCATTGCCTTTGGCCAAACCCTATTTGCATGAGAAATTATTCACTCCATTACCAAGTCTGCTCAACTTTGCCTCCCCTGTCTTTGAAAGTATTAATAAATATTGATCAGCCACACACTCCTGTTTGCCTTTGCCCAAGCAGCTGTGAT